CTCCCCTCCTCCCCACCTCTCCCCAGACTGTTATTTTTTAAAGATTTGTTTTTATTGTTTTCAATTAAGTGTATGTGTTGACTCTCATCTTCCAGCTTTACATAGGTTTTACATAGGGTTACAAGGCAACTGATTTTACACAGTGAGCCATCATCTCACTGGTGCCTGAATTCTCTACTTTTTAGAATGGCGTTTCTCAATCTGGGCTATGCATTAGCATCACTTAGGGAGATCTGGAAAAAATATCCAGACATCCAAGCTACATTCCAAACCATCTAAATGAGATGCACTACAGGTGAGACCCAGGGTCCGAATTTTGGCACCTTCCCCAGGCAAAGTCAGCTTTGATAAAAGTGTGCTGGGGCATTTGTGCTAACAAGATCAGGATCTGATAGGTCTGGAGTGGGCCAGGGGTTGGATGAGTTCAGTGTACTTAGTGGCTAGTTTCCAGCCATCCAACCAGACTTACAGGAACAGAAGTCCTTGAGCAGCTCCGTATGGTACCTGCATGACTGAGCCGGGTGTTGGTGATGCACGCCTTTAATCCCAGCACTCGGGAGGCAGAGGCAGGCGGATTTCTGTGAGTTCGAGACCAGCCTGGTCTACAGAGCGAGTTCCAGGACAGCCTCCAAAGCCACGGAGAAACCTTGTCTCGAAAAACCAAAAAACAAACAAACAAACAAAACAAACAAACTGCATGACTGCACAGGCATGACACAGGATGGACATCAAGAGTCTACTTCCCCTGGGTCTCAGTTGTCCTAAAAGATGAGGCTTTCCCGAGGCAGACAGCCACAGCTAAACACCGACTGAACTCCTGGAACCCAGTTGCAAAGAGGAGTGATGGGCAAAGGGGTCAAGATCAGGCTGGAGAAACCCACAGAGACAGCTGACCTGAACGAGGGGGAGGTTATGGACCCCAGACTGGTGACTGAGAGGCCAGCATGGGACTCATCCAGACACCCTGAATGTGAGAGTCAGTGAGGAGGCCTGGGCAACCTATGGGGCCTCAGATAGTAGATCAGTATTTAGCCCTGGCATACAAATGGACTTTGGGTGCCCATTCCACATGGAGAGATGCTCTCTCAGCCTGGACACATGGGGGAGGACCTAGGCCCTGCCCTGGATGATATGACAGTCTTTGAAAATCCCCCATGGAAGGCCCTACCCTCCCTGGGGAGTAGAGGGGGGATGGAATGGGGGTTTGGGGGATTGGTGAGGGCGGGGAGGAGGGAAGAGAGAGGGAGCTGGGAGTAACATGTGTAAAAAGTTAAATAGAATTTAAAAAATAGATGAGGCTTTCAGTACTAAAACGGGAAAGTCTTGGGAAAACTAGATGGCTGGTCACCGCCTCCAATCTTGTGGTCAGTGAAATTCTCACACTATTACGTGGCTATTTTAACCAAACAGACACAGGTTAAAATGTGAGGGTAAGATGTGGGGACACAGAGGACCTCAGAGGGAAAAGACAAGGTCAGGTAGGGAACAAGTCAGGGAAAGCAGGTGCTCTGGTTTTACCGGCATCACAGGCACCTGCCTGCCCATGAGGTTTTAGTGAACCATGTGGACCTTTTGTTTGTTTGGTTTTCTTTTTTGTTTGTTTGTTTTTTGTTATTGTTTTGTTTTTTCCAAGACAGCTTTTTCTGTGTAACCACCCTTGCTCTCCTGGAACTCACTCTGTAGACCAGGCTGGTCTTGAACTCACAGAGATCCACCTGCCTCTGCCTCCCAAGTGCTGGGATTAAAGGCGTGCACCACCACTCCTGGCATGTTTTTGGTTTTGGGTTTTAAGTTTTTTAGACAAGGTCTCACCTTGTGGCCTATGCTAGCCTCTACTTCTGAGATCCTCCTGCTTTAGTCTCTTGTGTTATGGGATTTTGTGCATGTGCCACAACACCCAGATCTGCAGTAGAGTTTTGTTTTTGTTTTCCCAAGACAGGGTTTCTCTGTGTACCTTTGAAGCCTGTCCTGGAACTCACTCTATAGACCAGGCTGTCCTGGAACTCACAGAGATCCACCTGTCTCTGTCTCTGCCTCCCGAGTGCTGGGATTAAAGGCGTGTGCCACCACCTCCTGACTGCAGTAGAGTTTTAAAAGATTTCATTTGGGACCTGCAGAGATGGCTTAGTGGATAAGAACACTGGCCACTCTTGCAGAGAACCCAAATTTGATTTCTAGCACCCAGCCCACATGGTGGTTCACAACTGTCTGAAACTCCAGTTCCTGGAGATCTGACGCCATCTGCTGGCCTCTATGAGCATTGCATGCATGTATCGTGTATGCATAGATAACATGCAGGCAAAACACCCCCACACACATAAAATCAATACATCTTTTCTAATTGCTTGTTTGTTCGCTTGTTCTTATTTTTGTGATTCAGAGAATCAAGAGTAAAAACATTCTCCCACTCTAATTGACTTTTATTAGAAACGTCTTAAACTGCACAGCCCCTGATCTGCAAGATGGAAACAAACTCTGAGGAGTCGGGCAGAGGGGCACACAAAAGGCTGAGGAAGTTAGACGTGATGGTACAGATCTGTAATTCTAGTTATTCAGGAGGCGGAGACAGAAGGATCGCAAGTTCTAAGACTTGTCTGAATAACTTAGTGGGGGGGGGGCTGGAAGCCACAGCTCGCTGCTGGCCTATTGTTTAGCATGCTTGGGTTCATTCCTCCACAGCGCCACAAAAAACAAAACACTAAAACCAAAGGATTGAGGAAAGGAAACATAAGGAACAAGAAGCAGACCAATGACTTATTAACTCGCTTTATCTATTGTCTAGCTACCTATCATCTATCTATTTATGTTTTTTGAGATAGGGTCTCACTGTGTTGCCTTGACTGGCCTGCAACTCAATATGTAGACCAGATTGGCCTCAAAATCTCTGAGATCTTCCTGTCTTTGCCACCACACTCTGCCAGATTGGTGATTATGAAATTATTTTGAAATTGCTTTCCTTAGGGCAAAACATTAGGGACTTTCGTTGGCTTTGTAGGAGCTGGCTATTGTTTTTCTCTTGATTTCTTGGAAGGTTGGCTCTTACTAATAAAGAGCCTGAGTCTCCTTTGTGACATGAAATCTGAGCATGAGTAACTCCATCTTAGATTAGCCTTTTAGGATATAGTATAGGAGAACCTTAGTCCAGATAGCATCCCATAAGTTTTATCCAGCACGTCTATTTTATTGAGCAGACCAGAGGAACCTAGAGATGTAATAGTCTTTGTTATAGATTCAATACTTGTGAACCTCCTCCCCAAATCCACATTTGAAGTTATAACCCTTGATGTGGTAGCATTAGGGGTAGGTGTTTGGGAAGTGATTAATTAGGTGGTGAGAACAGAACCTTCATGAATGAGATTAATTCCCTTATAACCGAGGTCCTGGAGCTGAGTGTGGAGCTCATCTGGTAGAGTGCATTTCATTCAGGAAGCCCTAAATTTGACCCCTGGCACCAGCTAAACTGGATATGATGGTGTAAGCCTGTTATCTCAGCAACCTAAAGGTAGAGGCAGGAGGATCAGAAATTCAAGGTCATCCTTAACTATATAGCAAGTTTGAGGCAACCTACACATTTCTGCTGCCCATAAGTCATCCAGTTTGTAGTATTCTGTTATAGCATTCCAAACAGACTAAGACATCCTAGTCCTTTATTTAATCACGGAGAAAACAGAGGTTTCTTTTTATTGTTGACATTTGAACTAGAGCGGATGAGGGATTGTCAAGGGAGCACATTACAAATGCAGACTTGGCCCTTCACTGTAGAAATTTGGATTCAAGGGCTGTAGAGATGGCTCAGCAGTTAAGAGAATTGGCTGCTCTTTCCAGAGGTCTTGAGTTCAATTCCCAGTAACCACATGGTGGCTCACAACCGCCCATTAGTGAGATCTGGCGCCCTCTTCTGGCCTGCCGGCACACATGCAGACAGAACACTGTGTAATTAAATGTTTTTTAAAAAAGAAATCTGAATTCAAAAGGTCAAAAGGCCTTCTACGTGGTATCTTAGATCATATCAGATCCTCCTCTGAGCAACAGTGAACTAAATAAAGAGCTCATCAGCTGGCGATCTAGTCTGTTTTTTGTTTTGTTTTGTTTTTTGTTTTTTGAGGCAGGGTCTCTGTGGGTATGGAGGCTGTCCTGGAACTAGCTCTTGTAGACCAGGCTGATCTCGAACTCACAGAGATTAGCCTGCGTCTGCCTCCTGAGTGCTGGGATTAAAGGTGTGTGCCACCACCACCAGGCTGATCTAGTCTGTTAAAGACAGCTTTTTTATTTGTTGGCCTGATTGAGGCAAGTGTGTCATCTTGTGGCCCTGACTGGCCTGGAACTTGCAACGATCCTCCTGCCTATGCATTCAAATGCCACGTTTAGAGACGTAATCCAACACACCCCGCTTAAAAATGGCTTTCTATCCCTATCCAAGGCATTGTGTGGATTTTGTCTCTTAAATACGTGTCACATCTGTCCCCTTCTCTGTTCCACCAATCTAGCCCAAGCCACCACTGTCCCTCACCTGAAAGGCCCTTCCATGAACACCTGCAGCCTGCTCTCCATAGCGCAGCCAAGTGTTCTCTCTGAGCATGCTCCATGCCCTAATTGAAGGCCCTCAAGGTATCTGTTACCTTTAGGATGGGAGTACTATCTGTCCTTGGGCTTCGTGACCATGTGGTACAGCCCCTCTGCCCTTCTGCTTGAGCTGGTCACATGCCTTTGTTCTTCTCTGCAGATGCCCCAGGGGCCACCTTACACACCCTCTCATCCAAAGCTCACTCTTCCTGATTTGCTGCAACACACCCACCTTCCACTGCCCCCCAGAGCCTCACTTTTCCAGGAAGCTCTCTGAGGGGATCTGAATGACAATGGCCCCCATAAGTCCATGTTTGTGAATGCTAAGGCTTCAGTTGGTAGAAGTTTGGGAAGAATTAGGAGGTTGACCTAGTTTCAAAAGACTCGTGCCATTCTAAATCTCTCTCTCTCCCTCCCCACCTCTGTCTCGCTGCTAGGTGACTGTGTCTCAAGATGTGAACTCACAGCTGCTACCCAGTACCAGGCCTGCCTGCCACCATGCTGCCAGCCATGATGGTCACGGACTCTAACCCTCTAAAACTGTAAGCCCCAAATAAACTCTTCTCTAAGCTGCCTTGGTCATGGTGTCTTACAGGAAAGTAACTAAGACACCTTCTCTGATCTGCATAAATGTGGCTGATAATGTTATGATTTAATATCTACATGATTGATTTATTAATGTTGGTCACCTCTGGCTCTCATCCACTGTCGTGGAATCTTCAGGAGGCCACAGGCTGTGTCTTTTTTTTTTAAGGTTAAAACAGGGTTTTTATTGTGTTTGTTTTTTAATATTAAAGTGTGTGTGTGTGTGTGTGTGTGTGTGTGTGTCTATGCATAGTTAGAGGTATGTGCACACGAGTTCAGGTGGTCATGGAGATCAGAAAAGAACAGCAAATCCCCTGGAGCTGCAGTTACAGGCTGCTGTGGGCTTCCGCACGTGGGTCTAGGAACTGAAGTTGGATCCTCTATAAGAGCAGAATGGCCTCTTAACCGCTGAGCCATCTCTCCAGTTCCATGGTTTCTGATTGTTTAATTGTGTTTGTTTGCTTCTGTTTTGAGATGGTGCCTTGATACACAGGGCAGAGTAAGCTCAAACTTACAGAAGTTCACCAACCTCTGCCTCTCTAATGCTGGAATTAAAGTTGTGTGTCACTGTGCTTGGTCCTGGTTATTTCTTTTGGTTTGGATTTTGGTTTTTCTGTGTAGTCCTGCCTCTGCCTCCTGAGTGCTGGGATTAAAGGCAAATGCCACGACCACCCATCCCGCTTGGCCCTGGTTTTTAGGGGAGTTTTAAGACAGAGTTTTGCTATATTGCCTTGGCTGTACTTAAGCTCTCTGTGAGCTCAAACTAATTTCGAACTTGCAGCAGTCCCCTAGCCTCCGACTTCTGGGTGTCAGAATCATAGGAGTATGCCACCACTGGTTTTGGTTATTAGTCTATTTCTGGTGCCCAGCCTAGAATATGGTCTACCCTAGGTACTCAGCATCTATTTATGAGATTAATGATCTATCAGATGTTGAACTAGGCCATCTCAAGAACTCATGTCAGCCTGAACCTTCATGGCTTTCTCTGCAGTTACTGCTTATAATATCAAAGAGTGACTGGGCGTTGGTGGCACTCACCTTTAATCCCAGCACTCGGGAGACAGAGGCAGGCGGATCTCTGTGAGTTCGAGGTCAGCCTGGTCTACAGAGTGAGAGCCAGGACAGACTCCAAAACAATGCAGAGAAACCCTGTCTCGAATAACAAACAAACAAAAACAAAAAAGATCGAGGACTGATAGAAAGCTTGGGAAATGAGAAGCCTTGGCCAGCTTAGAACTCAATAGAGCCCTCACAGATCTGGCTAAAACAAAGTGACAGGTGCCAACACTGGCTAGATGACTGTCAAGGAATGTTTGACATGGGCCAGAAAACTGAGTGCCAGAAACCCCAAGACAGAACCTTTTGCCAGGAGATTCCCTGCCTGGCGAACTGAGTTCAGAGAGAAATGACTGTTCTGTCACTGGGCAATCACTGATGTCATACTCAGCCATTTCAGTACTCTACTGCTGCCCCCCTCAAGTCTTCACATCCCACACCCCTTCTAGAAGGGCCCCAAGTGACAGCGGTCTTGCAATCTGCTCAGATGGTTTGCTAGGCTGATGTCCACAATATCCTCTGTCTTGTATTGGGGGCTGGGGCCCAGGAAGGATGTGGACCAGTGTCCCAGCTCTTGTGTTATGTGGTTTTCCTGCACTCCCAAGACTCTGCCCCTTTTGATGGACGAACTAGTTCACCATTGACAGCCTGACTTGGACCATCCAGGGGAAAAATGTGGGGAACTCAGTGACCTGGGTCACTTAGACACCACAGTCATACTGTGGCAATGGCAAGTGGTCTCTCAAAGTCCGATAATATTCTGAAGTCGTCATATCAAGCTGCCAGAGACAGCTACTGGTGACTCCTCCCGAGGTCCAGGCAAGAGGGCTTGGATAAAGGACATGAGCTATTTGGTCCTTAGAAAGGGGCATCCCTCTGTTTGTGAACTAAGAATCCGACATCCTACCAGCAGCAGCAGAGTGTGTGTCTATCAGAAGATGGCTGAAATGCTATACAGCAGTTATCATGGATGTCTCAAGTCCACCTGCGACGGTTTTTAAAAGCACGTTGAGAAAAAGCAAGTTTCAGAAGGCCATGAATGTGCTTATGTTCATAAAATTATCAAAATATGCAAAACCTTCTAAATCATATCTTTAATGATTTCTAATACCTACCGTTTGTATGGTACCATAGTTTAGATATAGTTTTAGTTTAGTGTGTTCCCAAGTGATAATGTGTTGAAAGCTTGGGCCCGGGTGTGGCGATGCTGAGAGGTGACCGAAGCTTTAGGCGCTAAGCCTCATAGGAGTTGATTAGGGCACTAGCTTCAGAAAGGGTTGCGGTAATGGCACGAGACTGTAGGTTTGTTCTCGGCAAGAGTGAATTGTTGTGAATAAATGAGGCCAAGCTCCAAATCATTTTCTGTTTGCTGTTTCACTCTATGACCTGTCCTTCTGTGTGTGCTTCCAATGTGATGTCCTCTGCTGTGTTGTGATGTAGCCAAGGGGACCCTTACAGTAGCTGGTGCCATGCTGTTAAGAATGGTTATTCTCCAGATTTGTGAGCTGAACAAATCATTTACTTTTGTAAACAACCAGCCTTAGGTATTTCATCATAGCTATCCAAAGTACACTAATACATGTAGGATTGATCAAATGAATATTTATATAATAAAACAAAACTCACATGGAAGAAATAATAATACCATTCAAAATTTGTATTTGTCTTGGGGGTACACAGACAGTGGCTCCAACTGTATCTGAAGTGTTCTCTATCTTATGTGTTTGTTATCTTTTGTGTGTGTGGATGTATATGATGTACATGTGTATCTGTGCACACGTGTGAGTACAGTCCCACAGATGGTACAGTGCATGTGTGGAGGTTCAAGGACAACCTTGGGTATCAGTCCTTACCTTCCACCTTATTTGAGACACCGTCTCCTTTTTGCCCTGGGTATCCCAGGCTGTCTGGCCTGAGTTTCTGGAGAGTCTCCTGTCTGCCTGTCATCATGTTGTGGAGCTCTTGGATGACAGGCATGAGCTGCTGTCTTGGCTTCATGTGAGCTGGGAGGGGATCTGAACTCATGTCCCTTGCTTACATGGCAAGCATTTTATGTACAACAGCGCCATCTCCCCAGCTCTGTTTTCTTTCTCTCTGGCTTTTGTTGTTTTTTGACACAGAGTCTCTCTCTATAGACCTGGATGTTCTAGAACTCACTATTGTAGACCAGGCTGGCCTCAAATTCACAGAGATCTGCCTACTTCTGCCTCCCAAAGTGCTGGGGTCAAAGGTGTGCACCATCATGCCTGCCCGGGCCCCCAGACCTTTTTTCTATCTTAAGCCAGATGTTTGCTATGTTGTTTTGTATCCCTCGTGTATGCCTTAAATATCTAGTGAAGATTTGTTTCAAGATGAGAAAAAGGTTAGGTAAAATGTCAAACCAGCAACTTGTACATTGACTGGAACAGTGTCTCAGTTATTAGCACTCCAGTTGCCAGGGTCCCATGAGCAGGGACTTTCCTCCTGGTGGCAGTTGACACTATAAATGTTCTCATTGCAGGGCCACTTTTCCCTTCCTCTTTCTGTTAGTGCTGGGAAGTCCCCGCCTCTGCTCATAGCCTTCTGGATGACCGCTGCCCGCCCGGCTATAGGCACCCCTCTCCTGCACACGAGAGAGGAGGGGAGGCGGGGGACTATGTTTGTGTTCCTCCAAGATGGCACCTCAGGTGGAGGTCACCAGTAATCAGCCTCTTCACTGCATCGAAAGCAAGCTCTCACTTCCTGTTGGTGACATGGGCTCAAGTGGCCTGCTTGATGATCAAAGTCAGGCAGAGAAGTGAAGAAAATCTGTTCTGAATTCTAAGACAGATTTACTAACAAACTTTTGGAAAGACACCAGTTCTCCCTTGCCAGTTTCTATGAAAGTCCCTCAGGAGTGGGGCTCAGCTAAAACAGGAAATCCAAGGAGCCAAGGTTACTCACGGCTAATGTCAGATCAGGTACTTCAGGAGAACTCCAGAATTTCCTGTGGGGGGGAGCTTTGTGTTTTCAGCCGTTTTCTCTCAGCAGCCCCACAGTTTAAATGAACAATGGAGTAGCAAACTCCTTGTTCACCACATGATGTGATTTCTGATTGCTTGAACAACACTGCTCTGTGCAATCATTACCTACCCAGTAGGAATCATTTCTCTTTGCCTTAGTGATAATATCCTGTTGAAATATAATGCCATTCCAGACAGTGACTACATCATGTCTGGAGTCTTTTTCTTTCTCTTCTATATTTAACCTTTGAATACAAATAATAAGACAACTTCCCAGATGAGGACAAAGAATCTTGGGGTCTACGCTGAAATCTCTAATTACTGAGCATCCTTCGATAAAGCAGTGCGACAGTAAATGTGTGACACCTCCGATCCTTGCTCTGTGCCTGCGGACATCAGCTGTGTGACGAGAATGACGATGGCTTTTCTCACAAAGCTGCTACAATGCATAACAACTATATTTGAACAAGCACATGTATGCACCATGTTAGTTTTTAAACTAAACACCTGGCATCTATTTATTTATTGTGATGTGTATGGGTGTTTTGCCTGCATGTATGCCTGGTGCCCATGGAGGACAGAAGAGGGTGTCGGATCTCTTGGGGCTGGAATCTCAGACACTTGTAAGATGCCATGTGTCATCCGATCCTCTGGAAGCACAGCCACTGCGCCATCTTCCCAGCCCCCTACCATGTTAATTGCATTACAAGTTTTTAAAGTACATTTATTTATTGTGTATATGTATGTGGGTACATTCATGCCACAAAGGGCAACTTGTGGGTGTTAGTTCTCTCCCATGTGGGGCCTGGAGATCAAATTCATCTCATTATGCCTGGTAGGAAGTGCCTTTATCCATTAATCACTGGGGGAGAGGGATGTTGTAAATTTTAAGGTACCAATTTAATCCTCTTTGTGCGTGCCAGTGAATGTTGAAAGGCAGATGTTTCTG